AAATCATAAAACCAGCAGGAAACTCAGGTTGATGAGAGTAGCAGTCAAACCTGTGTACGTGCGTGTGCGTGCGTGCGTGCGTGCGTGTGGGTGGTGGTGGTTGTGGTGGTGGTGGTGGTGGTGGTGGTGGTGGTGGTGGTGTCAGGCAGTGACGTCACTGGGGCGCCTAGACACGCCCCTTTTCCTCGTGAGCTAGACGACTGGGCGTTCTGTTTTTACGTTATTTCCGGAGCGTCTCCGTGCTCTGGAGCTTGCATTAGCTGGGCTGCTTCACCTCGTGTGGGCTGCCGGAGAGTACTGCATTTCAGTTGTTTGATCCTCCCATCATCCTGGCCCGACACCATGGGAGTGACTTGGTAGGACTTCAAGGGATTTTGTGGGGGCGGGGCTTGGGGTCTTGAAGGCCCTTGGAACCTCCAGTGTACCCGGGAGGAGGATCGGGACCAGGGTCCGCCGCCCCCCGGGAGCTGAGCAAGATGTCCTCGGGTTGTGTGGGTGAGGGGGCCACCGTGAGGGCTGCGGAATCTGCTGGACTTTTCTCTCGGAGATGCGCCCCTTCCTCCTGGAAGGCGGCAGGTAAAAGGTTTTATCTTAAGAATCCATCAATTGTCGTGTACCTCCTTCCCTTTTTCTTGGTACGTTTTGCCGCCCGTGAGGCCATAGTACTGCCCGGGGTGGAACTTTAGGGTCGGAAGTAGGATATTGGGACTAGGACCCATTTGCAGGCAGGACTGGATGGTGGGGGATAGGCAACAGGCAGACAGTTATCTTTTTAAGGTTTTCGCCTGCCCCTCCCTACAGCCACTAAATGCGTTTACACCAGCCTGTCTCTGGTCCTAGTTTGGCCATTTTAAGATCTTGGTTCTACAGGAAAAAAAAGAAGCTGTTGGGAATTAGGAGATTGGGATTCCAGGCACATCACCTCTTCAGGACCTGTTTCTTACTATGTTTAATTACATGGTTGGTTCAGTTTCTATGGACTTATTATCTCTAACATGTTATAAGTCAGTGTGGCAGGGAAAGATATGGGCCTAATTTTCTTGGAGGCATTAGTTCCAAAATGCTAGATTTCAGGGCTTAAAATATATATATATATATATATATATATATATATATATATATATATGGCATCTTTCTGGTCAGAGGGCTAGAGGCCAGGGTATCTGAAGTCAGTGGCTCTAGGCTTTTCATATAAGAGCCTGTGGGAACTCATCCTCCTGGTTGCCCAGGTCTTGCAGGTTTGTCAGGGACTGCACATTTGCTTCCTGAAGTTGACATCATGAGTTTCCTTCGAAGTCCTTTAGTGTAAGAAGGATGTGAGGAACATGAACGAAAAGTTTGCTGAGGACTTCCCTGGCGGTCCAGTGGTTAAGACCCCATGCTTCCACTGCAGGAAACTAAGACTTCCGCGCCTCCCTGTTTGCGGAACGTTCGCGGAACTAAGATCTGGTATGACGCAGGGCGCAGCCAAAAAAAAAAAAAAAGTTTGCTGCACAGAGGCATGGAACCCTGTACTTTCAGTGCAGAAGGCAGACAGAAGGAAAGGGCTCTCTGTCGGCTGGGATGCTTCTCAGCTTTTTCAGGCTTCTAGGACTTCTGACCCCGGGAGCATTACCTTAGGGATTCTTTTTTTTTTTTTGGCCTCCGCTGTGCCATGTGGGATCTTAGTTCCCCTACCAGGGATCGAACCCTCGCCCCCTGCATTGGAGGTGCAGATTCTTAACCATTGGACTGCCAGGGAAGTCCCAGGGGTTCTCTTTTATTTCAAAATCAGGCACATAAGCATCATCATCATTGCTTGTTAGTGCTTTTTCTGATGGAGAGTAGTGACAATTTTTTAGCAACAGTAGGACTCTCTTTTTATAGTTTCCTTTAGTTGATTGTGATTGATCATAAAGCAATGCAGTGTCTCCCCAAATTCAGCCACGTATGACTGTATTTATGATTTTTATTTAGTCATGTAGCACTTGAACTGTTATTTATTTGTTTATTTAATTTATTTTTTGGCTGCGTTGGGTCTTCGTTGCTGCGTGTGGGCTTTCGCTAGTTGCTGTGAGCGGGGGGCTGCTCTTCATTGCCTTGTGCAGGCTTCTCATTGTGGTGGCTTCTCTTGTTGCAGAGCACAGGCTCTAGGCACGCGGGCTTCAGTAGTTGTGGCACGTGGGCTTCAGTAGTTGTGGCACGTGGGCTTCAGTAGTTGTGGCACGCGGGCTCAGTAATTGTGGCTCGCAGGCTGTAGAGCGCAGGCACAGTAGTTGTGGTGCACAGGCTTAGTTGCTCCACGGCATGTGGGATCTGCCCGGACTAGGGCTTGAACTCGTGTCCCCTGCATTGACAGGCAGATTCTTAACCACTGTGCCACCAGGGAAATCCCCTGAACTATTATTTATTAATGTCTTCTTTGGATTCTGTTTCTTTTCCTTAAAAGTATTTTAACAGACAACTATATTCCTGGGGAAGCATTCTGGTAGACTGGTTAAGAGCACGGATATAGAGCCAGCTCGCCTGGCTTTGAAATTTGGTCATGCCACACCACACCAAGCTTTGTGACCTTGTGTGAGTTATTCAACCCCTCTGTACTTCAGTTTCCTCATTGACAATGAAGAGATAATAATATTATATCTTATAAGGTTGATGTGAAGATTCAAAGAGTTCATTTATCTAAAGGCCTTTGGACACTGCCTGGCACATAGTTGGTGCTTGGTGATTGTTTCCTACCACTCTAAAGGGGAAGCCAGTTTCACTCACCATAGAAGGAAATCTTGGAAATAACTTTTTGTTTCATTGTTTTGGTTAAATTCTTGTACGTACTGTTGCCTCTCACTCCCAAAGATTAGAAACTTGAGGTTTGCTTTCTCTTTGATCCCAGGATCCTTAGAACTTTCTGCATCAATGGAAATGTTCTGTGCCAGCACTACCCAGTACACTAGCCCCCAGCCACGTGTGGCTGTCGAACCCTTGAAATGTGGGTAGTGTGCAGCTGAGGAGTTGAAGTTTTAATTTGTTTTATTCACTTAAGTGTAAATAGCCGCATGTGGCTTGTGGCTACTGTGCTGGACAGCCCACGTGCAAAGTGTTAGAGAGTTGGTAAAAAACGTAATAACCCCAAGTTGAGGCTTTGTCTTTGATGTAGTCAGAAGTGAAAGAAATGCAGAGGAAATCCCTTTTTCATCGTATAATTCAGTGTTACTGCATGCTCAGTCTGTATGCCACCTAAAATCTTCTCTTGAACATTGGCACACATACCACACTCGGGAAATGCTGTTGCCGTAGACCTGAGTCCTGAGACCTGCTCTTGTTCTTAGCAAAGCTCTCAGGGACTGTGGGCCTCTGTTTCCCTGTCTTTAAAATGAGGAGGTCTGGGTTGATGGTGTCTAAGGTAACTACTGGCCCTGATGAGCTGTGATTCTGTGGGTGAGTGAGTGACTCAGTGAGTACACGTGTGTGATGATTTTGGTCTTCTCCCTTCCAGTGTGTCCCAGATGCCCGTGGCCGAGGGCAAGAGTGTCCAGCAGACCGTGGAGCTCCTCACCCGGAAATTGGAGATGCTTGGAGCAGAGAAGCAAGGAACATTTTGTGTGGACTGTGAGACCTACCACACGGCTGCCTCTACCCTTGGCAGCCAAGGTCAGTGAGAGATGGGTCTATGGGATGGCTGGAACCTGCCGTGGAGTTAATAGACATTCATGTTCATTGAAACCTTTCTGCTCTTCTGCTGAGGGTGGTATTCGTGGACATGCGGCAGATGAGCTTCTGAATTCATTAATTTTTGACTTCATCTCTTAGACTGGGCCTATGTTGTAGTCTTTTTGCACTTTGCACTTTTAAAACAGTGTTTCTCAGAGTGTTGGTCACCAACAAATTGCCTCAAAATCCTCTGGGTTACTTGTTAAAGGTGCAGGTTCCTGGCTCACCCCCACCCCCACCCCCGCTTACCGACTGACTGGTAGTCAGTCATAATCTACATTATAATAAGCTCCACAGATGGTCTTCCTGCACCCTTAAAATTGAGAAAGACTCCTTTGAGGCTCAGAAGGCTTTGCATATGATTCTCTTGGAGCTTTAGAGTTTGGGGAACTTTTGTAGAAAGGCTTCCTGTTTCCCACACCTAGCCAGTGGCCTTGGCTACCTCCTTAGCATAACCTTGATCAGTGAAACAACTTTTGTTTTAAATGCATTTCAAGGTGAGATGGGCTGTGGTTGGTGATGTTAGGGGGTAAAGAGGATTTTTGGATAGGAATTAGGGAACCTGGGTTCTCTTAGTCTTGGCTCTGTAGTAACTTGATTTTGGACTGTTCCATAGCACAGTGACTAAGAGCCTAGGTCATGGAACCAGACAACTGAGTCCTGGCTCTGCCACAACTAACTGCAGCTTTAGGTTATTCCCGCAACCTGTGACTGTTCTTATGCTGGTCCCTTGCCTGTTTCCCCAGGGATCCATTCCCTGCACTTCTCCTGCAAACTACATTTGCAAGGCCTCCTGTAAGTTATCTTTGGCCAGTGAGAGGCACGGGGGAAGATTTGAGGATGGAAGATAGAGAGTCCACAGTCTCTCTCTCCCTCTCCCTCTGCCTTGGGCTGTGTCTCTGGCTGTTGTTTCTTCCTTGGTTCTAGCTCCTGTTCAGCAGCCCTTGTTCCTGGCTCTCGTAACAGCACATCTTCTCTTTTTTCTTCCAGCTTAGGGATGCTAGTGGCTCCCTGTGTTGCTAATCTCTGGGTGGCTTCACCATATTCCATTCGATTTTTCAGTTATTCCAACCCCTGTACTTCATTCCCTGTATTAAATCCCCTCGAATGAAACTGTCTGGTGGGGGCTGTGTTTTTTGCACCCTTCCCAATACAGTTCTCTTATCTGCAAAATGAAGATAATCACAGTATTTACCTCCTAGTGTTGTTGTGCTAATTAAATAAGTTAATACACGCAAAGCACTTAGAACAAAGGTTGTCATGGAATAAATGTCTAGTAAATGGTAGCTAAGAACTGAACTGAATTTCATCATCAGTAAAATTGCAGTGTTAACATTTGTTTTGACTGCAATAGGAAGAACACAAAGAATCAAAAGAACGGTTATGAAAGCATTTGGAAAACAAAACACTTGTATATAGACATAAGATAGCATGCTACTTCTGAGAAGCTCTTTGGCCTGGGCTCTGTTTTCCTCATCAGACCTTTACTTTCAAGGAACTACAGTCTAGGTGGAGAAACAGCACATTCTCAGCAGGCAGTGGGGTAGAATGGAAGGAGCTCAGAAGGCCTGGATTGGAGATCCGGTTCTCCTGCTTTACTGGCTCCGTGCCTTTAGGTCAGAAGTTCTCACACTGACTAGCGTTAGCATCACCTGGAGGGTGGGAAGGTGGGCTTGTTATTCCCTCAGATCGACCCCCCCACCGCTTATGAGTTTCTGACCCAGTAGGTAGGGGGTGGGGTGGAGAATTTGCATTTCGAACAGGTTCCCAAGTGGTGGTTGGTGCTGCTGATCTGGGACCCAAATCTTTAGTTGCCTTTCGACTGTTTTTGAGACAGTAAGAACATCTGCAGACTCCCGTAGTATGAATTAAGCATGTAATCACAGTGAGTCTGCACAGGAACAGAATGCCAGATTGGCTTTGGATGTCTTTTTACTGGAGGGCTGAAATGCTTTGAACTGGATTTCTCAGGTGAAACGTGTGAATTTGCAGCAGGCAGTGGGGAGAGCGTGGGGGGAGGCTGGTGTGGAGCCTGGTGTGTTCAGGAAGTGGCAGCACAGTGGAGGCCTGTGTAGAGGTCACAGCGCCCCCCACCTGTCTCCTCACTCTTTC